ACATGCGACTCTGACTGTTGGCCACAATTCCGTAAATCCATATCAGACCGAAGGTAGATCACATGTTTGATGTTCAGTATTAGTTTCTAATAATAGGCTTAGAAGAAAGTGCAACTACCTACTTCGGCTTCTCCGACTATATAGTAAAGCTATTTTGTAGTATGGAGAGGAAATTCCCAAAGCTGGAATGTTTCTAAAACTTGATTCATATCTTCTTTATCATACACACCAAATAAAGCAAATGGTCCTAACTAGGTGTTTAATCTCACTCTGTATACGTACTTTTATAACTAATGTTTCAATAAAATTGTTATAAAGAAGTTCTACTTTTATTATTAAGACTTTTTGTAGTGGAAAAGTCATTGAACCATAAGGTTTTTCCCAAAGGAAAGGCTTATTTTTTCCCAGAGAACAAGATTGCGTGTTTTGTCAATCTCTTAATTACTTTGCCAAACATGTTCGATTATGTTTAAATCTGAAGATGTGGGTAGTGTTTTTATGACTTTTGTACAGTTAGAAAAGTGCCAATCTTTTACAACCTTCGAACAATGCCTTGGGTCGTTATCTCGGTGGAGGGGGAAATAATAATAATAATAATAATAATAATAATTTTTAAGTCGTTTTTTTCAGTGTATGATTGGTAAATTCTATCGTATGATTAAAAATGCGTGTGGCAAGAATTCAGTGAATGACAAACTTACCATGCTGTTTTCACTGAAAAACCGGTGAAAAAGGATCAAAGTAAGATATAATATTAAAACCCAAATCCGAATGGCCAAGCTTCCACGCAAAAAAACAACAATGTTTTATGTATGGTAGAAATTAAATAAAAATTCAATTTAATTATTCTTTTCATCTAAGGTTTTTGGTTGAGATGAAAAATTAGTGTCACAACCAAAAACCTTACATGAAAAGAATAATTAAGTGGAATAATTACTATGGTCAATTATGGCCACTAAACAAAGACGGAGTAATTTATTAAATAAAAAGTTTACTTACTTTAACTTCCTTGTATTTATCTGTCGAGGGATTTCTTCCTGTCGTCTGCAAGATGATGATACTTTGATTTGATTTTTACCAAAAATTTTGGTTGCTGGGTTGGTTTGTCAGATGGGATCAGGCACAGACACAGACACAGACACAGACACAGACACACACACACACACACACACACACACACACACACACACACAAACACACACATACACAAACACACTCACTCTCTCTCCCTCCCTCCCTCCCTCCCTCTCCCGCTCACGTCCACTACCTCTCAGTCACCCTCTTTCTCCTAATATAAAAACTGAGTTCATGGTCATGTCATGCGTATTTTTATAGCATTCCTGTACTGTCAAAACGTAAGGAAAATTGGACAAAAATTCTTTTGTAAATAAAATCAGATTTTCAATATTGTCGAATTGCACTTTGTACAAAATAAATTAACTAACGAAATTCCTCTTAGTTGACTTAGCTACCCTTATTTTAAACAATATATTATTTGGGACGAAAGAGAAAGATATAAAAAATAAATTGTTTTGCAATTTATAAAGTACCAAAACGTCAAATTTATACACATTGTGTGCAGGACAAGTTTTTCTTCACGAAAGAAAAACAAAGCAAAAATGAGTATGTTAATTAAATGAAAATCATATCTTTCTCTCTCTCTTTTCTTTTAATTAAAATTTCAAAATTTCTTGAAAGGATCGTGCCCACCGCTGCGGCCAGACCCTTTGACCTGCACTTGACAAATCTTCACGGATGAAAGTACGGACAGATTAAAGAAAATACCAGCGCTTCAGGAACAACATTAAAACTTTTTATCTGTGTTTTAAAACCAACAGCTTGGATTAAATATATTCCACTAATCTTTCAAACCTTAAATTTCCGAATTTTCTTTGTCGGGGAAGATCTTTTCCGTTGTGTATTTCTTTTGTCCATTTATTTGGCACTCCAATTATCAACCTTCAATTATTAAAATACGTACAGTGCCCTATAGTTTTACTTACCTTCTTTTTTTCCTTTTTATTCCACTATTTCACCTGTTTTAGGTGCTTTAAAATTAAGAATGGCAATTCGATTTACCACTAGGTATCTTGTGATAATGAAAAGATATTTACAATTACCAAACTATTAACGACATCTTTTCCTTGACACAACGATTCTATCCATTACAGCCTGTCCAAAACTCGGCCTCTATCTAGTTTCAGCCCTTTAACCCGGGAATGGCGAGTTTGAGTAAACTTTACCAGTTAATTATCAGGCTAATTGTTTCACTATTCTGCGGTTTCGGCCGCAACTCCGCCTCTCGGCAAACGACTCAGTTCCTCGGTGCCGATTGCTGCCGATGGGCGGTACTGCAATCACTTAGAACGATTTAGCGACTTTTAAGATATCGCCAAGTTCGCTTATCTTAAGCGAAGTCTAGAAAACTAGTTCGATTGTGTTTATCAAATCTAAGATATTGCTTTATTTGATAGTAACATGTAAATATTAGGAAAAATTTGTGGATCATTAAAAAAAAAAAAAAATATATATATATATATATATATATATATATAAAGAGAATAAAGTTAGGATTGCAACATCGTTGATAAAATATTGATGTTCTCCAACAAAAAAGCATCAGAGTAAAATAAAAAATGCATATAATGATAATATAAAACAAGAGACTTTGATGACGTGTAGTTTAGGGAATGCGTGAGCAAATTGTTCAATAGATGATCGTGAAATGTTGAAGTTATGAATAGAACATAAAAAGAATCGGTTATTATAGTGAATATTAAGTTTGGAATTACAGTACAGTAAACTAATGAGTGAAAATCACGCGCGGTGCAGATAAGTCAAGGAAGTAAAGTAACGGCTTCCAAAGTTTCTAGACCTAATCAGGGATGGGTAGAACATCGCATATTACGCAAACTTTTCATAAATCGTCCTTTTATTTTAATATATGTATAAGCACTTTTGCAAGCCTAGTTCAAAATTTTCTAAATGAAATTGTACTTTATTTAAAACCAATGCCCAATATTTACATACCCAGTTTTAATATTTCTAAACATAATTTAATCATTTCTAAATCGAATTAATCTTATGAATTAATGTAGATAATTTCAATTTCTTTATGCACGATGGTTCTTTATGACACAGTTCATTTTTTAGCCCTTCTAATAGCTACCGGTTATTAATAATAATAAGAATGTTGTAAGCAAAGATTAGTAAATCACTTGCCTACTTGTTTTGTCCTATTGTCTGTTCATTTTTTTAATAACAAAATTTGATAAAACATCATATTCAAAATATGCAATATAAATTGTAAATAAGTAGTACATGTCAGGAAAGTATGATTTGATGGAAAACCCGATAGGGATATGTATAAAGCTCGCTTTGCATATGAAGTCAGGACACGCAGGCTACTCTGTTGCCAACAGTGCGGTCTTCTCGATCTCTTGGTCAAACAGGAAACATTGCCATGCATTAAACGCAAGACCTCGGCTCACTTGATTTTTTAAACTAAGGCAGGATTTGTCTCCACATCGCCAGAGTTTTTTAACACGATCGACCATCGCCGATCAACCGCCGAATGAGTTCCCAACTTTAAAAAATATTATCTTTAATACAGGAAAATGGTTTATTTTTCCATTGGGAGAGTTTTAAGCAGTTCCCAGTCAATCTAATTTGGATGAAACAACTGCTCTAATGGATAAATGTACCATGAAGTCGGTAAAGATTGGGCGAGTTCTCATTTTTATTTTTTGAGAAACTTCACCCATCGTTTGTTCTCTTCTTTGTCTTATTTTCTCAAACTTTGATAAGCTCATTAAATCTTTAAAAATGAAATTTAATTAATTTGTAAAATAATTGGCTTTCAATTCAAGAATTCAAAGGGAGATTCTTTGATAAATTAAACAATTTCCCCTGTTACCATTTTATTTATTTATTTGTTTACGAGCGTATTTCAACTACGAGGTTATATGAACTCTCTGGGTGCCGGTGTTTTTGAAAAGAAAACAAAAAAAATTGTAAGTATTATTCGTTTTATCTAAGGTTTATGGTTGAGATGAAAAATTAGTATCACGTGCGGGATTCGAACCCGTAACTTCTGACACGATAGCTTAAGTGACACTAACATTTTCATCTCAACCAAAACCGTACAAAAAAAATAATATTTAATTGGAATAATTAATATGTTCAATTATGACCTAAGCAAATATGGATTTGTAAGTATGTCGGCTTAGAATATAGTGTTGATGGATTCGAACCCGGGTCCTTTACTTTACAGTGATGAGCGCCGTGTCAAGCCTAAACCTTTGCGGCCACCGACGTCCTCTGATTACCATTTTATACATGACAGTTTGTCATTGAGCATACATAATCACTTAATTTAAAAATACTACCAATTAATTTAAACTTTAAATATTTTAAGATACCCTTAGAAGTCGGTCGTTACAGTTTTATATCAACAATATTCAACTGTTTTTCGAATTGAATGACGAGTATCAGTAATCAACTGGTAACAACTTTTGAAGGCTTTGAAGCATTTTTGCCATTGAGACACTATAGCTAAATAGTAGTCGTAATAGTTTATAAATTTGACAAACAAATGATTTTTACAGCAAAAAACGTAATGATATAAAAAACTCATAATTCGAAAAATGCATTTGATTCTACAATCATTTTGCAACCAAGGTAACATAAAATATATGCTGTTGCTATTTCGGCTGGAGAATGAATAGAGAGAAAATATATAGAGAGAGAAGAGAGAGAGGAGAGAGAGAGAGAGAGAGAGAGAGAGAGAGAGAGAGAGAGAGAGAAATAGATCAGTGATGATGATGTTGTTTCCATTATGCAAAGTTAGGTCTGTGGATCTTTCTACCACTTAACGAGGTAGAGAGAGCGAAAGCGAAAGAAAGAGAGACAGAAATAGAGAATTATATTTTAAATTTAGTTTATTTCTTGTTTCTTAATAACAGTTTAATTTATATTTTAATTTATATTAATTGTTTCAGAACTACCAAAACGACCCCCGTCCATTTTAACAGAAAAAGAAAGGTACGACGTTGGAGACATGATGAGGGGTAATTGTACGTCATCCCCTTCAAAACCGCCAGCGATTTTGAACGTCTACATAAATAACATCGCAGTGAGTTTGACTTTTAAAAACTAAATTTCGCAATATTCTTTAATAGTTATTTGAGGTTATATTATCTTCGAAAATAATTGCTTTGCTAGTGTTTAATTATGGGTTTCACCGTGTCATGTTTTATGTAAGATTTATTGAACAAACATGAAATAGATTTAAATTATTTTATTAATAAACGATGTGAAAATGGTGTAATATATAAATAATGAATTAGTTTGGTATTAAAATGCACCATTATATTAGAAAAAGAAAAAATTGTATTTTTTGATAATTGACTTAAATATTGAAATTGATGATTGTCTTAAATATTGAAAAAAACTGTGTTTTACGATTTAAAACATTAAGTGATATGTTTCTTACAATATTTATAAAAGGGGAGTTTTAGCGTTTCTTACGTTTATTATGGAATAAGGAAGATCAAGTATTAAAGTTATCATAAACTTGGTCGCACTTAAACCGAGAGTACAACTTCATCATCCAAACAATCCCTGTATTTTAGGTTTACAAACATAGACAGAGACAAGAGACAACTGATGGCTCAGAAATAATAGTGTTTACACTTCAGGAACATAAATTAGTCCTCAGGCGGCACTTGGGGGATCGCGTTCTATTTTCTCCGGTTTGTCATAGGGTTCCGCCGGCTGGGATCGCTCACGGTACCGTTTGGGTTTCTTGTTTGGCTTCTAGCGTGCCATGTGAGAACAGCCGTCGTCGGACCAGGAGATCAAAAGGGATATCTTTCCGGTGCTAAACGTGCTCTGGGTTGTGGAGTAAACTGTGCTAGGAACGATATAAAATCAAAGAGCGTAACGACATCGTTCATTCTTTGAATATGTTTAGTACAAAAAAATTATCAGTGGAAAAATTAAAAACAATATTTATGAAACTAACTATTAAAATATTAAAACTTTATGGTTGAAACTCTTGGTCGTTAGAAAATTCTAATACAAGATAATTATTGTTTATTATGTTTAGAGCTAAAAATGGGGAATGAAATGAATGTCTGAGAGAAATACATGTTCTTTATTTTATTTTTATATATTAAGTTACCTCAAACGCAAAGTTTAAAAAATTAATTTAATTGCTGATGGCTGTTAGGTTACCACGTCTGTAGTGGTGTGTCGAGTTGCCACCGTATGTAAATATTTTTGGCTTACGTTTTTTATTTATTTATTTTTTACGGATTTTTGTATTATTTTACTATCGAAGTGAACGAACAATTTGTATCAGGCTTACATCAAAACACGCTGTGTTCAGTACCTTAATTTTAATTGCCATTTTTCTTTTATAATTGAATATGAAAATATTTTTAGTTTAAGCGTCAAATATATTTTGTTTGTGTATCATAATTTTGTAGGTATCTTACCAGGACAGGATAAACTGAAATTAATGGCGGGATAAATTTTTTTCAATTAATGGGTTTGTAGTGATTTTTGTGAAATTTACTGTAATTGGATTGAATTACTTCATGGACAAAGGAGGATTTAAATTTCATTTGTTCAGCGTTGATGATTTTTCTAAATATTTTTAGTTGAGCAGTTTGAATACGGGGGATAATTTGGCTCAACCGGAGACTTCTACTGCCTATATCCATATTGGTTTCAATGTGAAATTGTAAAATAGTCTTGTTAGGCAATTAATAGAACGATCGAGTCAAGTAGACACGAAAAGGATTTGCACAACTTCCTCAGTTCTTGCAAAAATACATAGTTATAAATATACACGGTTTCCCATGAACAGACGTCAATTCTTTAGTGAGGTTATCCTACATATCAAATTGGACTAAACAATTCTCCGCTGTCCAAAGTGTGATTTTCAATTGTATCAAAATATCTTACTGTTCAGGTTAATTCAACTTTTGGAAACTTTATTCGTTAATGTCCTCCTTGTTTGATAAAATGTTACTCTTACTGTGAATTTGATTACGTCAATCGAAAGATCATTAATGTCCACATGTGATTCATTTGTCTATTTAATTGCAACTTTATATATATACAGGGTGAATTGCTACTCGTGCTACAAACTTCTCCAGTAGATTCTTCACCCTAAAATGAACAAAAAAGATCATATTGTCCATGGTCCGATTCTCAACCATTTCAGAGTAATTTCGCTTTTTATCGATTTTGAAAGATATCACGTCCTGGCGTCGGAAAATCGTGATATCTTTTAATCNTATATATATATACAAATGTGTCAATATTTACAGAACCTAGAAATTATTTCTTAAATTTAAATAAGGACTAAATAAATCATAATAGTATATTTTAAAATGTACATATATAGTCCTTACTTAAATTTAAGAATTATTTTCTTGGTCGTGTAAATATTGACATATTTGGCGATTATGTAAAAGTGGCCTCTACTAATGAGCTGTAAACAAATGTACTTATCAATGGTAACTATATAAAATTAGCATTTAAATTTTAAAAAACATTTAGTGGGGTGGTAACGGTTCACAAACATTAGCCGTAGTTTAAATAGGATTTTTTGACTTGACACAAAAAACAGTTGCCCTTACTAATGATCTGTAAACATGGATTCTTAAGTTTTCAAGAGATAGTTATCAGTATTTTGAAATTATCGTTTAATTGCTAAAAATTTGATTTTTCCGATTCCAAAAATTTATTCATTAAGATGTTGAAACTAATAGTAAGAGATAAAGTGGTACAATTCAAAGTGGACAAAAAAGACGCTTTAGTACAAAATTAACATCAGAAAACAAAAAGCTTTCTAAAATTAAATGTTCAAAATGTCTTGGAGAATGCCAATCTAACATCGTTTTCGATAGATTTTTCTTCAGTATAAGCAGCACAGAATTACTGAATGATTTCAATATGAGGTCGTCCTTGTGCAAGGAACAAAATAGCTTTCATTTAATTAATTAGCTTTGAGGAACCAACTACATATGTTTAATGCATATTATTAGGGGCAACTTTTCTCTAACCTCATATCTGCCAATATTTACAGAGCCAAGCAAGTCTTACTTTACTGTAGACAATAACTATGCAAACTCGTAAAAGTTTATATTAATAGTATTATATAATAATTAATATACAATCTATTTGTGATTTGTTTCTTAGGGTTACAATAAAAATTAAATGGTTTTCAATTTTCTTTTCATCGATGTAATCATATTTACAAAAGGGTCAACATTTTTGAGATACGTTGGGTTTTTATACTTTTAAGCCAATATAAGAAAAGTTTTGCAAAACTCACTCCTTTCTCTAGTTCCACGTTCATTACAAAATTAACAATTGTCCGTTGTATGAAGTTATTGAGGTGTTCCTTCTTGTCACTGTACCGTTTATTCCTTGGGGATTTGATCCGTCCGGGCCGAAAATGTGACAGAATTTTCAATTAGATTTTTAGGATCTCTGGGATTGCTCATTTCAGGATGGACACGTCCATGGGCCAAAGTAAACCGGGAACCTTCACGGCGAACTGCCTTGAGGGATATTCCGTCCTTCTCCCACGGGATCAGATCACCTTTTCTCCGTGTCATCAGGTATTCAGCTCGCAACAGAAACCGTATCAGAACGGGGCCGTATCACTTTCCCTGGGGCGGAGAACCAGCCCTCGATAGAAGCATTGGGGCAACATCACGTACAATTGTTATTATTTTCGTTTTGAAAACAAATAAAACAGAGAGTTATTTATAGTCTACGGATAAACTAACAATATCATATTCTTCTTTTGTTATAATTCTTTCAATTAATACAAACAAAAACCTTTATTTAGCTGTGCTTGCGCAAAATAAACCCATTTTGTTGAAAATTTCCGCGCTGTAGTTTTCCACGTACAATTTTGAATTGCTTTTATTCTGTTACTTCTCAGTTCTCAGCTATTTAGCACGACAATTAGATTCATCAATTCTTCTTAGGTGCATCCAAATTATATTGGTTGATAAGGTAACACGGTGAAACAATAAAGGTGTTAACTAGAAAATGTTAAAAGTTAAAACAGAGATGGCATTTTTAGGTAATTAAAACAACATATTTTAATTGTTTAAATATAAATGATAAAAACACCCCAAAAGAAATGCTAATTTCATAATTGCGGAGTGTAAATTGAAACGGTGGTTATAATAGATGTCACGTTGTTTAAATCAAGTTTAAGCTTTGAGATTCTTTGTACAAGAATCTCTTGCACAGGACATTAAAAAGCCCATCAAACTTTGTTGAGAGATCGAACAAGGCAAAGAGACTAACTTTGCAAACTTTCAAGAGGCCACCAGTCCAAAATACACACCCTTGTTAACTTGAGAAAGTATTCAATTCTTTTCTTCAGACTTGTGATTGATATCTTCATTCCCCCCCCCCAACGAGGCTTGAACTATTGCAAGAGGAAATATTTAGACGTTTAAGTGAAATGGTCAAATTTTACATACGTAAGTTTGTAAAATCAAAAACTTACTTTGTGTAAAAAGGATTTGATACATTTTTTGAACAACAAACAGAAACATATTGAAAATTTTTAACAATGAATCAGCTACGTTCCTCGCGTTGACCAAACTTAATAATCTAGTAAACAATAAACCATAATTGTGCAATTATATCAGCTTGTTGTTTTGAGTAGCTGGATAATTATGTACTACTATTCAGGACATCCTTGCTTGTTTCTTTCTTCTTAAAACTCTGTTTGGTTCCGATTCCCGTTTAGTCATAAACTTCAGTTATCATCATTTCGCATCATATTGCCTCAGATTTCTGGCAATTTCAAAGTCTGCTGACATTTATGTGACCCTAATGAATCGATATGAACTTATTGTTTGGTTCCGCTCATACCCGTACATAAGTAGCCATTACCTGCAACTCTCTGGCCTTATCTGTCCCGCTTCTCCATTCCATATGGACATATAGGAGAGTAGGTATGTTATTAGCGAAAATGGAGTGGGTTCGACCACGTACGGAACAATATCGCGTACTCTCGGGGAGTGAATGCAACCCGACTTATATTTATCGGTGATCGATGGTTATATATATGTAATACAACCTGGGGTA